TATTTGTATAAATGTATACTACAACGTTTCTGCAATCGAGTGTATATATATACACTCCATTGCAGCAACGTTATATATATATAAACGCGATGTTCCGACGTGTGATACAGCGTCATTATCAAACAAAGAATGAATTAAGAAATAGAAAAGTAGACCATGAAGGAATGCAAAGTTACAATAGAAGAAAGAAAGAAAACGTCCTAGGAAGAACAATCAATCCATTCATGAATAATGAATAATCAATCCATGAATAACCCATTTACTTAATTCAGGGCTCCCTCTTAACTAAATATGAATGAAAAATCCATTTGCTAACCGCTTCACTTCTGATAATGAATATCGGCGCCATTCTGTTGCCTATTGATGGTTATAACAAAAGAACTTATTGATAATTCTTTTGTTAAGTTCCTCCAACATGGCCGCCGTGAAAACCATCAAAAAACCTCCTCATATCGATTTTAAGATTTTATGATATCCAAGTAATTCACCTTTTCGGCAATAGCCGTTACGTCGTAAACACTTTGCTGGATTGGGTTACGCTCACCAAAAAGTTCGCCGGGGCATCGTTCTCGGATTCCCATACAAATTCACTGAGTTTGGGGAGAAAATTTAGATAGATTTCTTTAGTTAGCTCTCTTGACAGCAATAAGAAAAGCTTCAATGAATTAAAGTTAGGAAAATATTTGACTTGTATTTAGACAATAGTTCATTTAAAGTCAGTACGGAAATCCGAGAAATGTCCGAACTCCTTGGTGACCGTAACACGATGCAACACAATTTATGCCACGTGACGGTTAGCACCGAAAAGGTAAATTGCAAAAACGTACTCATATAAAAATAAAAAATAAAATAATAATAGTGATTAATAATTACATCTGTTTTGCTTAAAAAACAGTTAACTCCTATTTTGCTATTTGTTATCTTTATATGACAACGTTCTTGCAATTTATAGGTGTAAATCAGTAATCAGATACTAAAAAATACTTTCAAGCAAAACCAATTAAAAAAACTTTTCCATTCTGTTACAGCACGTGCGTCTGTGAAGGGAGGGAAGTGAACTTTTGGAAGCCGGGTACAGGAGGAATTTTGGGAAAATTAAACCTTTTGCATCGGATTGAGAAAGAGCACTTCTTCACTAAGTAAAATTACTGAATAGTCAAAAAAAAAATTTGTTTTTATTTACAAATTAGTACCAGTAGGTAGTTTTAGTTAGGTTTATGAAAATCCACTAAGGAACTAATCTTAATGTTTTATGATTAAATAATCAAATTCTAAAAAGTTTTCACAAAAAACCAAGAAAATTTTGGTTACTGAAAAAATACTTTATTTGCTTAAATCTTGGCAGGTTGACAATCGTAACTGACCTGATCCACTTGTGGATTTGGTGGCATTCACAACGGAAATCTTTCTATACTACAAAATCAAAACTTACTCTTGCAACTAAGGTCGTATTGCAGAAATTTGAAATCGAACCGCCTATCTTCTATAGGCCAAAAGTTGGATGCATTAAATTTGACATTTTTGTAGGCCCAACGTTTGTATGATTTAGGACGTATCGGTGAATGACTTTTTGACGCTATCTACCAGTAAGACCTATGCGGCCACCAAAAGCCACCATTTCTATAGAAAATGAAACATTAATCAAATAAGCTTTTGTTGTTCCTGCTTTAGTAAAGGACATTGTTATCAAGACAAAATTTAAAAGTTCCGTTGAAAACTGGGCTTGAAGAAAAAAATAATGCCATCGTCACTAAAAGACATGATGGATGTTGATGAAGAACCGTCTGATCAAAACAAAATTCAAGAGAAAGAGGACCACATAAAAAGCCCTTTTGCGGACAAATTCAAGAGCCTAAACAGAAAACTGCTTGTTTCAAAAATCTTTTATTTCTGTTACTGGGGAGCCGTTGGATCGTTCTTTCCTCTTCTTGGCGTTTACTTCAAACAGCTCGGGATGAATCCTAGTCTGAGTGGTATTTTAGTTGGCTGTCGACCAATGGTTGAGTTCTTTAGTGCTCCTCTATTGGGAACGCTAGCAGACCGACTCGACAAGAGAAAAATACTTCTAATATTTTCATTGATTTGCTGGATTTCATTCACTTTTTCCTTCGCTTTCATTAAACCCGCTCCTGTAACTTGTAGAAAATATTTCGTTCTTACGAAAAATGTTTCTAAAATTACCGAAGGCGAAACGTCCGAGGTTCAAAAGTTCCTTCAACCGAACACTCCCAACGAGGAGGAGCCGAAGTTTAAAGCAAAGAGTTCTCTGGTTTATGATCCTGAAGGAGTCCATCAGGTATTCCTAGTGCTGCTGTTTCTCACTCTAGTTGGTGAATTCTTCTCGGCTCCAGCAATAACTTTGGCGGACTCAGCAACACTTGGTATGTTGGGCGAGAATAAAGAGTTGTACGGGAAACAGCGCCTGTGGGGCAGCCTTGGTTGGGGAACGGCTATGTTTTTCCTAGGATTTATAATCGACAGTATGAAAGGAGTTGAAATGTGCGGAGAGATTATAAGTCAAAATTACACCATTGGATTTTATTCATTTGTCGTATTCATGTCGTGTGCTCTCCTTGTAGCTACACGTTTCTCTTTCGCCAAGAATAAAAAAACACTAAAGGAGGACATCGAAGATGATTCCAACTCAGGAGTTGAGCTTTTTCGGACACTTTTTTCTTTCCGTTACGGAGGGTTTTTACTCGTAGCTTTTTTCATGGGTTTCGGTTTAGGGCTGATTTTCACGTTTTTATTTTGGCATCTCGAAGACCTGGGTGGTCCGCCGACGCTTTTCGGAATAGCATCGCTAATCGATCATGTTTCGGAAATTTTTTGTTACTTTTATGTCGGTCACTTCATCAAACTTGCTGGCCATATTCCTGTCTTGTACATTGGTCTAGCAGGGAACTTTATTCGGTTTGTCTACATAGCATGGATTCGTAACCCTTGGCTAGTCCTTCCTCTAGAGGTCCTTCAAGGTTTTACCCACGCTGCCGTGTGGGCGACGTGTACTAGCTACATGGGGCGTATTGCTCCCCCCGGATACAGCACTTCAGCTCAAGGCATTCTACAGGGACTCCATCATGGTCTCGGAAGGGCTTGCGGTGCGATTATCGGAGGTGTACTTATTCATTATTTTGGAACCAATAGCACTTTTAGATACTATGGCCTTGCTTGCTTGGCTGTTCTCGTTATGTTCTTTATTCATCAGAAGATTGTGGGACCTGATGAAAGAATCTTACAGAGCCCTGCGAAAATATCTTCCAAAAAAGACAAAGCAAAACAAAGCCCTACTACTGAGAGTGAACCTCTAGCTGGTTCCCCTCCCCCCACAGTAGGACCTGTCCTGCCTGGCTTATTTACAGAGGGTAATCCAGACGCCTCGAAGTTTCAAGTTGTAGGCAGACATATTCAACCTCAGCGAAAAGAAACTAATTTCTAATTATTTATTATTGCTACTTATTCAAATCATCTCTCCCTCCTCAAAACCCTTACATTTAAACAAATAGTGGCAAAATAAACATTTTACAAACCCGAATAAATGCCAAATATAGAAATAGGGGTCACACTCCCATAGTGCCCCTGGATAGGAAGGACCCTGTAATACACTTTCAAATGCAAATGCAAAAGCAAGGCATAATTTGATTTTGTGCAAAATCTTGCTTTACGTGTACATTCGTATAATGGCCAAAAGAAGAGCATTTTATTCATTTAATAGACAAGTAAGGCTAAATACCAGTACTCAACTGTTCTTATTTTTCAGCCTCTTTGACACAAAGTATCTTTCAAGAGAACAAAGTGTCATAAGAACTATTTCGGAGTAAGGAGCTATTCAATTGGAACAATGAAAGCAAATACTACAAGATGCAGTTTCATAAATTTTTGACAAATTCACATAAACAAATAAGATTGCCCTAAGACTTGTAAAGACCAACAGACCAGTAACTGTGAAGATCTCCCAAATCTACTAGCTTAGAGTGCTTTGCCTTATGTATAGAGGCAAGCCAACCAGATAAGGTCCACATCAATTTTTCTTTGTCAAAATATGGCAACCTTTTGCTTCAAAAAGAATATCTAAATTTCCTTCATCTTTTAAACACCAAATATTAGATGAATTCTGCCGTTCACTTTCATCACAGAAATCTGGATCAGTGAGATAGTCCCCTTCACAGTTCCCTGCCCCATCTTGAAAGGTAGCCGTGCCTTAGCATCACAGTGAGACCAATGATGAGTTTGCAATTATAGAAACATGTGAATAACATTGTCCAAGGTGTTCAAAAAGGTCTCTTTTGTTGCAAGCTCACCGTTCATCTTGCTTCAATGCAAACACTGCTACCTTTCAAGAGGGCACAGGGAACTGTGAAGGGACTATTGGACAATTTTCTTCTAGCATTTCATGCTTATATTGTTTGCCTTATAATTACAGAAATTTTCTTTATTCCCTTACAGAACATTAATAATAATATGAATAAATTATGGTCACCACCTATGTGATTGCATAAAATGCTGTAAAATCCATTTGATGTTAGTCTCCAATTAAAATACTAACTACAATAAGGTACAAGGTTTCTATTTTTAAGTACACCCTCTATGACAACTTATTTGATTATTGTTTTTTTGCAATAGTCCCCTTCACAGTTCCCAGTGCTATCTTGAAAGGTAGCCGTACCTTTGCATTGAAGCAAAATGAGCAGTGAAATTGCATGTGAAAATTTTATTGAGGTGTTCAAAAAAGGTTTCTATCATTGTGAGCTCACTGTTCATCTCGCTTCGATGCAAAGTCACAGCTACCTTACAAGATGGAGCAGGGAACTTTGAAATTGGCTTACTATTATTACAAAAAAAGGGACCATTCATTATTTGTTGGGGACTGGGTATAAAGGGGAGGAGAACCTGAAAATTCGATCACTTAATTAGGGATGCCCTGAATTACCAGTACTGAAGAAGATTACTGCAAGGAAAGCTTAGGAAGATTTAATTTTAAAAGTTCTCCAATTTTGCACTTTACAATAATAATATTTTATTATTGAATAGTGAGGATAGGAAAAAATGTTAAAAATTTCAAATTTTCAAAACCATCTCTCAATTTCATAAAATTAGTGAATGGTCCTTTATAAATGACTAAATCGATTTTTTTATAATGGGATACAAATTCCTCAGTATACAGCTGTACGTACATGTATACATGTTTCAATTTTGTCTACTGTAATTCACACGCACTACCAATGTTCTATGCATACAACTATTAACTCAAATTCTTGTGGCACAGGAGATCCTTGTATTTGTTGGTTTGCAGTATGAACACAATTAAAGGTCAATCTGACATAATTTTTTATATTGATGATATCTTTAATCTAATTTTCTTATGAATTTGCGTTAAAGATCAGAACTTACCATTTTTTATAAAGATGGGACTTTTCTTTACCCAAGCATAACATATACCATGAATGCATATGCAGCAGTCACAATAACAAGAATAGCAGTTGATGTAGTATTGAACAGTTGTCGATAGCTAATCAATCCATACCAACAACCACACAAGATAAATGTCAGGAGAGGTATGAACAGTCTACTGATGTCTAACTCTATTTCATTGTCCCGTTGCCCTTGCTGGGAAGCATTTACCTGAGGCATGTCTGAAACTTGAGCATGTATTACTGAGAAATTACTGATGCCATACGAGGACAAACTGTCCGAGTCATCATGTAGAAGTCTTCCACTGTAAATGAGCCGTACTCTCCTGCCTTGAGCAACCTCACTTGGAAAACTTAATCTATATCAAGGAGGAAATGGAAGACAAACCTGAATAAAAGAAATTCTGATTTTTTTCTTAACATTTCATATGGGCAATAAGTCCAGCACAACAAAAGTCTTGTGGAAGGTACCAAATTTCAAATTATCATCCAAGTCATGTTAAATTGTTGCATAGATTTGCTCTTCCTCACACTTTTGCTGCAAAACATAAGATTCTATCCAATCCAAAGAGAAATGAGTTATGATCCCCAACTTTGCAAAAGATAGGATATTTCAAAGACCTGGGAACCATATATCTGGAGCGAATGGACCTTTATCATGTGGCAGCCATGTTGAACCATAGATTACCCCTGTATAGCTTTGCATTCACAGGGCTGTCAACCCCCGAGATATTCAAATCTGGAGAATTGATAGGGAAGGGACATGACGTCACAGCGCTTCAAAAAACACGCAAAAAGACGTCTTTCGCTTTGTAACATTTGATGTGATTGGTTTATTTTTGACCAATCAGATTATTGCTTATATTACAATGGCCTGCTTGCAAGAACACTTTTTGAGGAACGTTTTGATTTTGTTAGCGATTTAAAATAACACAAACAACGCAAAATAATTGGAATTTTATTGTGAAAGTCGAGTCTTACAAGAAATGGCCAGCTTCGGGATTATCCGGGAGATTTGAGACTCTAATCTGGAGACCGGGAGATACGGTCCAAAATCTGGAGACTCCCGGTTTATCCGGGAGAGTTGACAGCCCTGCATTCAAGCACTTCAGAATGAGGCTACGTGAGGTTAAACAACTTTTTATGTTCTCATGGGAATAAACATAGTGCCATGTGATAAAAGTCTATTCCTGCCCCAAGCATCTTTATACCTGGCCAGATGCGAATTTCATATATTTCTAAGTACTACGTTATAAACCAACCTTTTCAGTTCACCAACGGTGGTGCTTGCACCAACGGCATAGTTTCTCTCCACCTCATGGTGTTTTATTCTCAGGGTCAGTTGTCCAGGTGTAGAGCAGGGTTCATTTTGTTCAGACCTAGACTCTGTAGTCCCACCAGGCGTTTCTTCACTGGTACCTAACCCTGTCCTACAGCTTTGCCCCTCTTCATGTGACCCCTTTGTCTGGGCCCTAGATGGACCAGCAAAATCCGAATTAGCCCGTTGATTGTCATGAACAGTTTCTGTCTGAGAAGCTTCCTGGCGGTCGTTATCGTCTATTGGACTGTCTTGAACATTTCTACTGTCATTATTATCTACTGAACTAGTCCCGTCTGGAGATTGTCTCTCTTCTCTTTGAGTGTCTGCAAATTCTCTCTCAAAAAAATTCCTCAAGTACTGCCAGCTGTTTAAAAGATTATACGACGACTGTCCACTGCTACTGAAATAATATAAAAGCGTGAAAACCCCAACTGCGATGAGAACAACGAATGCAAGCAAAACCTCATTGTCGACTCCTTCTAGTATAGTAGTCGACATATCTTCAAAAGTCCAAAGATCGAAGTTTCAGTGCAGAAAGGTGTCCATAAAGAATAAGAGATTGGAGAAAAATCTAATAACGATAGAGATATTTGAAGAGTAGTGCGATCGGTCTAGCAGCCCATGCAAATCCTCACTATTATACACGTGTATTTAAGATTTTTTTCCACCTGCATGTTAATCGAGGGTTTACTAGCCATGGGAATAGCCGCTGCCTAGGCTTGCAGGCTCAGCTTAACCGGAAATTCCTGCAGCACTCAAGTAACGCTAGGTAAGTAAACTTTGACGTGAAGATCTTTACTCTTTTATATCATCTAAAGGCTACGAGAGAGGTCAAATCAAGCCCTATCAACCTATACTTACCCTTTATCCAGTTTTATTTCGTGAAAAGTAGTTGCGTGTCTTGATTCTAGAGGATGGAATGCTGAAGCCGGTCAGTTGAGCATGGACATGACCCTTCTACTGTACCCTCCTTCACACGACCTCAAACTTATTAACATTACATTCAAATGATTCGTTGATCCCTGTTTTAGTCTTTTACAACCTGTAATTGGAAATATTTATAAGTATAACTTAAGTTCTTGACTTTATAGACCGTAAAAAATAAAGTGAGGGTGTAACCTTCAAGCAGCTGAAGGCTAAAAGGACAAATCTCTAATTCTTTTAAGTTAAGTTTCCGATTGGAAGATAAGAAAATAAAACTAGGGACTTCGAAAGTGAAAAAAATTGCGAAGTACTTTTATCCAGCTAAATGACACATTTTGATTATTTACTGATTTTATTAACTGTTCTGTTGTTCTTCATGCTCTAGTAGAAAGCTGTCGTCTCTCTTCATGATTTCCACCAAAGTATAGAAGCGAGGGAATCGAGAGGGCTTTCGTTTTCAAACTTGAATTTCATTTGTGTTTTTYAAGAAACATCTTAAATTATTTCACATTGCTCAATTGTTACAAAATTCTGGGGCTGTACGAGTTATATACATCGTGAGTGTTTCCAGGAATCCCCATATGGACACTCCCCATAACCCTCTACAAATCATAATAGTATAAATTACAAATCATAATTGAAATATTCAAGCCCTCTACAAATTGTATCTCCTTCCTCTACCCTTAATCAGGGATGGATCCAGCCAAAAAAATTGCAGGGGTCGATTGAATTTTGTGAATGACACCACAAAGCCTGTACCCTGCGAGCAGAGGATTTTTTTAAAGCCCTCTCCCATCTCCCAACGGTATGTCTTCAGGGGGGATGCAGCCCCCTTTGCACCCCCTGGATCCACCCCTGTTAAGCACAATGCTATGTAGGACCCTKTTTGACCCAACCCATGGATAACCCCTGTAGCATATAATTAATTTGTACACATATTTTCCAGATCCTACATTGCACTTTTAGCTTGCAACCATGAATGTTGAACATGAAGTCAATCTCCTTGTAGAAGAGTTGAAAAGACTTGGTACACCAAATGCTGATGGTCAGTATGTAGTAAAGTTTGGCGTGCTGTTTAGTGATGATCGCTGTGCCAACATCTTTGAAGGTATAAATAAACATCTAACCTAGTTTCCTCTTGTTTGCTTCAGGAAAATTAAATTTGCCCTTCCCTTCTTTTAAGGATGTTCTTACATTAAGGATTTTATTTTTGTTAAAATTGTTGAATAAAACACATAACTTCATTTACAGCRCAGTGCGACACTACACCAGCCAAGGCTTCCCAGACACATTTTCATACAAATTAATAACGATTGAGAATTTGGACAATAGAATCTGCACAAATTTGATGCACAAAAGCAAAAGTTACTGTCACTGCTGTCCACCCATATGTTTAGACAAGGTTTAGAAGTCCCTTCTGTTTTAAGCATAAGACTATATCCCACACACCCACCTCATAGACTTCCTCGCTTTGCAGAGTTCTCTAAATAGTTGCCTCAGAATTAGAATTCTGGAGCTATTTAGGTCAGACCCACGGCAGTCTTGGAAAAAGGGATATTTTTAGAATTTCTCAAAGCCTCTTCAACCACCCTTTAATATTTGCTCTGAGGTACATGTCATGTTTGGCAGTCAACACTATTGAGTTAATAAGCATCTCTCAGATCAATAGTGAATTTTACCTCTGAATATACATCTATTTTCTTTTTAACAAAAAAATTCTTGCTAAAATTTTAACAGCTCTAGTTGGAACTCTTAGAGCTGCAAAGAGAAAGAAGATTGTAAAATATGATGGAGAACTGTTGCTCCAAGGAGTCCATGACAACGTGGACATTGTTCTTCTCAAGTCAGAGTAGCTACCATAGTGTACTATTATACAGCAGTCTCATTGAACATTCATCCAAATTTAATATTATTATTTGAGAATACATGTATTAGGGTACAAACACTAAAAGCATACTAAATAGCATTAAAAGAAACAAAAGACAAAACAAAATGCAAAACAAAAACAAAAAACCCATTAGAAATACCTCTAGTTATTTAGTACTAAATAGTACTATAATTATAAATTTAAGCTGCACACTTTTCGTGTTTGTACTCTAACTTCATTAAAGACTACATAATAAATTAGAGAAAACTGAATACATTCTTCATGATTATTGATTGAAATTCAAGAAATATCTGGGTATTTCACTTTTTATTATAATTAACTACTAAAATTTCTAGCCTAAAAATTTATTGCATAAGAAAAAGAAAATTCTAAAACAAAGAAATGAATTGTGACTGGACTACATTATTGTTTGCAAAAAAAATGAAGAATTGTAATATCCTTATTTATTAAGAAACTTGTTTTTATATAAATAAATGTTATAAATTCCACTTGATTTTGTGATGGCTATTTCTGTTTTGGTAAAGGGAGACTATCATTCTGCTAGCTTTTGGCCAATTTCGTGGCTATACTATCCTGTGCTGCAGATAACAAAACAATCATTCATCACTCAAAGTTATTTCAAATTTATCTGGCCCTTTTACACTTGTGAGGCAGGTTTCATTTCAATATTCTTATTAGAAGAATTCATGTATAAGTTGGGATTAATGCACACTTTAAATATCTATAACATTGTATAACCAATTTCAATTGTTCACCTTTGAAGGTCAAATTTCTAAGTGTGAATTTCCAGGAATAAAAGTATGAAAATAACACCAATTCTCATCCTTAGAAGATAAAGTGTTTTAGATTCTATTGAGTGATTAGAGTGAACACAATTAACCCATGAAGATTAATAATATATTATTAGGGACAGACCATTAGATGATTGAGGGATGGGGGTTACGTTCCCTGCAATTATCATGATTAACTAATGGTCCATCCCTGATGTCCAAAATCCTTTGCTTTCTATAGGGGCATACTGTATCAATAAGTACTTTTTTCATTGGGCTTATTATCATCTTTCCTTTCTGCTGATATTTTTGAAAATCATGCTGATTGGTGGAATAGTAACTGTATTTGGTAATCATATTATCTGACATGCATGACTAATGATTCAACATACACCTAATTGAAAAATCGTAGTCGGGTTCGAGAAGGTCATATCATTGAAGCTAAGACCGAAAAGGATGTTGGGTACTCCAAAATGTGTATTATATTTGCATATAGACATGTAAAAATGCACAGTAGAGCAAAGTCGGTCGACCTAGATTAACAACATGCCAAAGCCATGATTGCTAAAATGTGCACAGGAAGGGGAAACTGCAATATGCATGAAATTAGCATAATTGTTTGTCTTCCCATGCTCCCCTTCGGTCTTAGCTTCGATGATATAACCTTTTTTTGAACCCGACAACATTTTTTCAATTAGGTGTATATCAATATCAAGTTTGAATTTCAAGATAAATTCCAAAATTACCCACTGAAAGTAATGTAAAGTTGCAATAGAGTAAAGTATTAAAACTGGCTAATTAAATCGAGAGGCAGTCAAAAAAAGATGCCTTCTGAAAATTATTTGTGCTATAATTTGAGTCTGAAGTTTGTGGGAATATTTAAAATCCATAAAATTTATAATCAAGAATGAAGACTTATGTACATTTATGAATATTTATGATACAAGCTATTGCTCTGCTAACCAATACTGAAATGAACATCAAGCACAACCATCCCACAAGAAGTGGTTTAATGATGTGCCGTCATCATGCCTAGTTAGTGCTGACTGTGTGATATTTGTGATCAGAGTCTTGCATTTCTAGGCCTTCATCAGTTAGAAGTCAATACAATACTGCCACCTCTTTACACCATAACAACTTGAATATTATGCACCTACATTGACCATTCAAAGAAAGAATTCTTTTCTTCAGTGGGAATTGTATTGTTTAATATTTTAAAACTTTTTTCACCACTGGCTTTTAAGCTTAGCCCAGAAAATCAAGTCTCGGTCAGACCAGCTGAAGCCATGTAATCTTGGGTATGCTGTACCAYTAGTTATAAACTACTAATAGTCCAATAAAGGGTGCATGAGCTACAGGGAGAAAAGTAAGTTTAGATGTAAGACAGTTATACCTAATTGGTTAATAATACCAGCTAGGTTAATGTGAYTTACACTATTTCATTCTGGCTAAATAGCATCAGTGATTTAGAAAAAAACTAAATAAAGAATTCTATTGTTGATGAGTTGCCAATAAAGGGTTGATAATATTCAAGTTGCAGCAGTGATGGCTAAAAAGAGGTGTCTATGAGGATCATGTGACCCTTAGGTCCAGTGACCAATCAGGAGGCTTCTTGTCRTAGTTAAGATTATCTGTGTTCACATTTTTACTACAGCTATCTCCATCTTCATCTGTGACGGCTTGTGTTTTTTGTCTTTCCTGTGTTGCTGGTTGAAGATCTAACAAGCTGATGTCATCACTGTAGGGGTTTTCTAGAAGTTTTAAAACCCTTTGTACCTGCAACAAAGGATGAAATAAGGTGATCACACAAGTTTCAAATGAATGGATGTCATGCCAAAAGAGTCATTGTTATTGTCAAGATGACTTATGGCAGACCAAAGGTACACTGTCAAGATAGTCTCTCCTAGGTACTTAACTCTTAACTCAGTCAAATTAAACTAAGTTAAATTGTAAAAAGGAGTCATGTAATTAAAAAACAAAACAAAACAAAACAAAACAAAACTCTTAACTCAGTCTAGTTGGGTTTTCTCCTAACTTGGATGTGACTGAGTTATGAGGGAAAAGAGGGACTGTAAACAGTCTAGCCAAAGGCAACAGTCTTTTAATAGTATCCAATGGGAATTGGGGGTGGGGAGGGAGGGGTGGTGAGGGAGGAAGGGGAAGATCAGGCACTTCTTCTACCCTTCCCCTTAGAAAACTGCCCCTAAAATTTATTAGGACCTGGTTAGAAAAAACTATTCTAAAATATTTTATCTGGAATTATTTACCTCTGAAAAGTCTCCTTTTTCAGCTGCTGAAATGGCATTTTGTGCAATGTAGTTCCTTAATATGAACCTGACAAAGGGTCAAGTTGATATGATATTCATTAATATAGTCTGCAATATCTAAATAACAAAGTAAAGTAAAAATAAGACTGTCACAAAGCTTGGTTTTTCAGAGTGATCTTACCTTGGATTGTTAGCATTCATTGTAGTGACACGCTGTCTTTGTGCCTAGGAATAACATAAAATACACTAAGTCAATAAGCACATGGGCATAATATGTTACAACATGTAGTGAATATTGCAAAGGTTTTTGAATTGGATCCGAACTAATCTCAGTTCAAGAGTTTATTTGATTATTAAATACTGCTTTTGGCCTTCCTGTCTTTGTAAAATATGTGAATACTAACAAACAACTTTCAAAAGAAAGGAGGGGTAAGACGCACCTCTTCTTTGTCATCACAATCTTTAAAATCATCAGCCAATCGTGCACTGTAGCATGATAATAAAAGCATTGAATGAACATAACATAAATTGATATTATAGTTAAAAATCATTTGCAAAAAAAAAAAAAAATAAATAAATAAAATAAAATAAAGATTTAATTTAATTTTAAAAAATTATAATAATAAATAAAACCAGACATTTATATTGGCATATAGGGTATATCAATGTATATAATATCTATTATATATAGTGTATAACAGCAAGTACCTGTATTTTGCTATCCAAGTCGTCCACAACTGGGAATCTTTTTCCAACTTTTCACTTGGATTTGCTTCCTGTGGTAAGAAAAGGTGGACAGACATTAGAAATTCTTTACAAGTGTCATTAGATTGCTTATGATTATGAACATCCTTTGGGTTCTTGCTTTCATGATATGACTCAAATGCCTTTTACCAACTTTTGACCACTTTTCCATTACATCCCATCTACTTCCTTGCCATTTTCTCATTATGTCCCATCCACCTCCTGATCACCCTTCGTCATTACATCCCATCCTTTTTCTGGCCACTTTCTCTTTACCTCATATCTACGACCAACCTGACCACTTTTTTATCACATCCCATCCACTTTCTGACCACCTTCTCATTACATCCCATCCATTTTCTGACCACTTTCTCATTACATCCCATCCATTTCCTGACCACCTTCTCATTACATCCCATCCATTTCCTGACCACCTTCTCATTACATCCCATCCACTTTCTGACCACTTTCTCATTACATCCCATCCATTTCCTGACCACCTTCTCATTACATCCCATCCATTTCCTGACCACCTTCTCATTACATCCCATGACCATTTTCTCATTACATCCCATGACCATTTTCTCATTACATCCCATCCATGTTCTGACCACTTTCTCATTACATCCCATCCATTTCCTGACCACTTTTTCATTATATCCCATCCATTTTCTGAGCACCTCTTATTCACTTACATTTTTTTTGACCAACAATTAGCTACCCACATCTCCTATTGGTTATCTAGTTAACCACCATATTATATTATAATCACAGATCATGTGTGTACAAACCTTCAGCTTCTGTAGCTTTTCTTTCTTTTCCATTGCCTTGCGTATCAGTTGTACACTTCCACCCAGTTGTTGAAGCAAGTTAGGGTTGGATTGAATTATCAACAGAAACATTTCCAACTGTCTAGAAACAGGACAAAAGAATAAATAAATTTATACCAATATATAATAAACCAAACTGGATAAATTTAGATTGATGCATGAATTATGTGGGCCTGCCTGAATTCTTAACATCAATAAAAGGGCACAAAGTACTATGTATTCAAATGAGTAGGAAGAAAATTTCTCCCAAAGTGGAAGCTCTTATTGATGAAATCTCAAACTGAGATTAAATTTAGTGGCCAATAATCTGTATCCTTTCACTAAAAACCCTCTAAGATCCCCTAACAATAACTCCATAATCCTAAAACTCAAACAGAGCCTCATGGATCCTACTTTTCTTGAAATGTCCATAATAGATCTTTAATAAGATTTACCTATCACCCATCGTAGGCTGTGATGCTTTCTGTAGTTCTTCTAGTGTTTGACATTGTGACACAAGATAATTTATGACATCTTTGTTTCTAGTTAATTACAAATAGAAAGAGAAAGAAAATGATTAAGACCATGATCACTTGGAAAGTATATCATTTGTAAAAAAAATTGGTAAAAATTATGAAAATGAAAAAAAATTGTGATAACATAAATACTGGTGGCTCTTAAGTTTTAGAAAAATACATTACTTAAACAAGAATAGTTGCAGACATTTATGTAAGGTGTTGATAACATTGTAAAGTAGGGTATGACTGTAAGATAAACTAACTTAGATCAGGTTGTTAATGGTATTTATCAAAATGCATTGGGTACAGAAGAAAGAGTGAATTTGTCCTTCAGTAGCATTATGCTATATTATTATGAATGAGTGAAATAGAATCAGTTGAGGCCATACACTAAACCTGTGCATTTCTTTAGTTATTAAATAAAAAATACTTATCTACAGTAATACAACCACAACTGATTCTATTTAACTCATTCATTTGGTGTAATTTTAGTTACTAATATAAAAACATGATAATAGTCTACTTTTCAGAGCTCTGCTTTTGGTCTTGTACTTGTACTTTGCTTAAGCATCGGCATGTATTGGTAAAGTCAGCCCCTATGATGGAGAAAGAGTCATTATTAAGCAATTAGTCCTCAAACCCAAATAGGCCAAGTCAATAGCCCATGAAGCTGAAGGCCGAATGAGATAATGACTCATAGGCTATGAGGGCGAGAGGACTAAACATTTTAGTCAAATCCAACTAGTAGGTGAAATATATAGATTCAAACAAGTTTTAAATTAAAGTAAAGGGGGTGTTTTGGTTTTCAAAGCCAGCTTTTTTTGCTATTACTTAGCTATGAGTTATAGCCTACTAATAGCTCATCCAATCAGAATGCAGCAATGATGATAAACCACTAGTTGGATTTGAATAAAATTTGTAATAATATTTATAAAAATTATAATATTAATAAGAAACTTCTTGAAAAAATTGATTTCAAGTTGAACTTTATCTTTTTCGTTTTATTACCTGTTTCTTGCATAGTGTCAAACAGAGACTCAATTAATTCTCTGAAGAAGAAAAGATAATTATTCTTTTTATAAGGTTATTACTTTGTCTGGCATTCTGCTGTTATACAAGCTAGTTTTTATGCCTCTGGGATTGCCTATGCTATGTGTGCATACCTACCTTTACTTTGGGGGTAATGTTTTCCCATTTCAGACAACATGCCATTCCCACATTATCATTCCTTAGTTTAATGGTTGACGCATGAGATGACATATGAATATGGACACGAGTCAAACTAAGAATTTCATTCCCAAAAGAATGACATTTAGTGTAAGATGTGAAAACATTACACAGGTCTATTAACCTTGGTTATACTTACTTATCCCCTGATAACTGCTTATTTAATAAGCCAAGCTGTAATAAAAAGCAGAGTACAGCATTATAGCATTGGTTGATGGATTTGTTGACAGCTGTCAATCAAAAGCATATCCGCATGATCTGACCATTGCTTGCTAATGCTACTGACCTTTAATCTCATCTTGTTCATGCATACCTTCTCATACTCTTTTTCATATCTACAGAAAAAGGTAAGTTAAAAAAAAAAAAAAAGAAAAAAAGAAATACACTTTAACATTACATGTCTCCATATAAAAAAATTACATTATATGTCTCCAACAAAAAATTGCTATGACACATCCCATCAGCCAATCAAATTGCAATTCAGTGTTTTTTTGAAAGAGAATCAATCCCTAGATGATACTAATAATATGTTGTCCAGTTAAAGACTAGGAATTTACTTTTATCTGTCATGTAATTGTTCACAGTTTTTTATTAAATGATTACCACTAATTTTTCCCCCCCAAATGGTCGAAAAGTTTTTATAATTGCTTGATAGGATTTATGACAAACACACATCTAGAATTATGAATGCTACTGAGTCCTTGGCACTCTCCAGGATGGTTTAAAAACCAAAGGTAAAGCCTCAAAGTGTTGTTATTGTGCCTCATTTAAAAAAAGAAAAGGTCAATTGGCAAGAAATTCATACATGGCTACAACGAAAACTCAAGTGTATTGAATTCATAGTGGTTGATGTTAATGATTGTGTTAAATTCAATCAGGAAATCRCCTGGTCAGATCACCTGGATGGATTGACTTATGATGGTAATTGAACTGAGTGGAGTGCAATTTGGCCAAAATTGCATGACACGAAGTTCAGTTACCACTTTATTACATCCATTTTGAAATCACAAGCAAATCCTGCAATCTGATTGGTTCCCTGCAGCAGTGATTTCAGCATAAATTGCACGATTTTGAGCTCTAAATTGCACGATTTTGCACATCAACTGATATGAACCAATCACAAGAGAGACATGTCATTTTCTAGCCAATTATATCAAGGAATCCATCTTAGTGTTGAGCTCACTGCTTCTTGCGGAAAAAAAGAGCCACGGCTCAAATAATTTTTTCTGAAGAACGATTTTACCGTCAAAAGTCTTAAAAAAAGACTT